AAAAGTCCCAGCAGTTTAAAACAGGTAGTTTGTATGCAGCCCTAGTCTCTCCATGTTAAAGTCTGGCCCCTCCGAAGCGGGGCCCCCCTTTATATTCAGCCATTCCCCCTTCATTTCTGCTCCACTTCACTCCACAGAGAGACAAACCCCCCCCACCGCCCGCCCGGACCCCGAGACAAAAGCAGCTGCCAAAGCCCATGAAAAGTGATCAAATTATCAAGAACTTGACCTCACAGAGGGGACCCAGGGTTTGGGGGGGGAGAAGATGGTAACCAACCCAAACTGAGGAGGGGGTGGCCAACAGCAGGGTTGGGGGGGGAGGACAGTGATGGGACCGTGGTGGGTGTGAGAGAGAAAATACCAAATGCAAAGGAGGCTTTTCTGGAGGCTGGTGCATGGAATAATTGGACCATGGAATAATTGGACCAAGGCACATGGTTGGAAATGTTGGGTCTGCCATGGCACCCACCCCCTACCCCACTTCCTACAGGCACACACTCCTCCCGACCTCCACCTTCTTATTATTATTTTTATCATCTACTCTTGAGAATAAATCTGCCTGCTCAGAGAGGCTTGGAAGGACATTTCAAACAAAGCTGAACCAATGGAAATTGTTTTTTTGGGGAGCAAAAATGCATTTAATGGGGATCTACGTTCCCCCAGCCACTGACCTACACCCCCTTTCCTCCTTAGGGTCATAGCTGGACCCTCCTGGGTTTGCCTCCATGCCACAGGAGAGCATTTCTTACACACACACACACACACACACACCCTTACACACTTAAGGGCAGGAAGAATTGAGCCTATGGAAAGCATGCAAGCCAAGAAGGAGCGGAAAGGGGTCAATGAAACACCAAGAGTAAACACAAAGAGAGAGATGTACCTGTTCTTGCAGATCTGAGCATCTCCTTCGAAGGGTGGTCCGGTCTGTTGGTCTTCTTGGAGATTTGAGGATGATGCTCTTGTCTTCCGTTCTTCAAACTTTTCTTCTTCTTTTCTTTTCCTTTTTTTCCCCCTCTTCCTCCTCGTTCTTCTCTTCTCCTTCCAGAAGGCGATGGAAGTCATTTCTACTTTCGGTTATCTAGCTTTATGATGGCTTGATAACACTCATACAGCTAGATAACCAAAGACAGAAACAGTCCTCCTTCTGAGGTTTGCCTTCTTCTCTCTCTCTTTCTCGCTCTCTCTCTCTGTTTTTCCCTCTTTTCCGCCAACAAGGAAGTGGAGCGCGATTCGGATGGAGGGAGGAAAAAACCAGGAGCAGCCAGAACGGGTGGTCGCCTCCTCGATCTGCCCTCGAGAAAGCAAAGGAAAAGGGGGGGGGATGAGTGTTTGTGGGTTGGTGTTGTTTTTTTTAAGGTTAAAGGAGGAAGGTGGGGGGCGAACTCCCCAAAGCAATAGCCACTCATTAAGGCAAAGCATTGCTCTGAAAATTGGAGGTGGGGAGGGGAGTTGATGGAAGGGGGGGCTCTGTCTTTCCAAACTGAGCCATTCCCCAGTTGGGGGAGAAGAAGGGGGGAGAAGCAGCTGCCTGGCATTCAAATCACCCCCGGGGATGCCAGACTCCAGACTCACCCCCTCTACCTCTGGACTAACTTCCAGACCCCCTTTTTTTCTCATGTTAATCAACCTGGTTGGGAAGTGACGTCGGCAAGGCCTCCTCCAATCGGCGCCCTGGCATTCAAATCGCTGCTCCTTCCCGCCTCTTTCCTCTCCCCCCCATCTCCACCCCCCCCAAAAAAAACACCCATATTCCATCTTTTTATCCATCTCTCCTTCCCTTCCTTTCTTTGGGGGAAGCAGAATTTCTCCACCATCGCCCTCTCCTCGCATCTCTCCCCCCCACACCAACCCCCCCATTCCTTTCACTAGGCCTAGCTGATTTATTGGAGGGGGGACCCCATTGAAACAAACGAGTCCTGGGGTGGGGGCAAGGTACGGCTTAAGGCTAGCGGGATCCCATAGGAGCAAAAAGCCCTGATGGTTTCTCGCCTCCAAGAGGAAAGGAATGGGGAGGGGGCGCGGGGGGAAGAGCAGCAGGACAAAATCCCATTGAAGTCAATGGGCTCTCCTGGCGAAGCAGACGCGTGACTAGAGCCTCACAAAGCATGATGTCTCGGTCTGGGGGCATGGATGCCTGTGGATAGGCTTCGGCTCGTTTGCTTTGGGGGCTTCAGGGTTTGAAAGGGTCGTAGCAGAAGCCTCGGGCTACGATTTGGGACAGTTCCCACGACCCTACCTGATTTCTGCTCTTTGGGGTCCAAGAAGGCGAAGAAGGGAAGCGGGAGAAAAAAGGGGGGGCATTGTTCCCTGAGGTCAACAACAACCGCCCCTCCTTCCAAATTGGCTGCTCCTATCTAGATCCTCGTTGCGTATTTACTCTCTAGAAAACACGCCCGAGACCTGTTCCAAGCCTGGAGCCCTGTATTCCAGCCGGGGGGGTTGCATCCCCACGTTCTATGGAGTTCACGGGAACAGACTGAGTAATGGAAGAAAAGGGCTGATTCCCAGGGAACTCAAAGGGCCTTTAAAAGGAGGATTTCATTGTGCAACCGGCGCTCCTGTGCGTATTTCTAGGCGCTCCCGGCTCAACCCTCGTGTGGACACGGATAAAACGGTGCCAGACCGAGTTTTCTGTACCGAAGCCTGATCTCAGAGAGACACGCCCAGGATCGTGGCCAGGGCCCATCCTGAAGGTTCCTCTTATTCAGGGGGACTTACTTTCGTACAAACCAGCCTTAAACCCTCCCTACACCTCTCTCCTCTGTAAAACCCCGTGCGTCACAACCTTTCCCTGGACTCCTGATATAAAATATTAGCATCATAAACCCATGGGTCATTGAATTTGCCATCCTAATATAAAAATATTTTGTTGATGTTTCCAATACATGGTGGGGTTGTTGTTTTTTTCCCCCTCTCCCAGTTCAATTTAGAGCGAATAAATATCCCTCCACACATTTCCCCTGCCATGAGAGAGAAACGCTCTTTCTGGCACAATTTTTTGATCCAATCCCATTAATGCAGACTTCCGCGGCTTAAGACAATATCACATGCAAATCACCAACGCGACATGCAAATCAGCCCCCTCCAGAATTAGTGGGAAACGGGGGGAAGGGATGATATGATTAAAAGGAAACCGCTTATTCCGCTATTTCTTTATTTCGCTTTCCGCTGTTTCTCGGCTCTTCCCGCAGCCTCTCCCTGGACTTCCTTGGGAGTAACATTTCGGGACAAACACGGTGTTCTGGATTCAGAACCAACAACCCACGCGATAAACGCGATCATCTCCAGAAATCTGACCCAGCATTGACTCCCTCCTCGCATTCACCCATTCCAAAACCTCTCCAGTTAAGATCAGATGTATTAGCAAAAGAAACGGTCGGGGTTGTTGTGTTTTTTTTCCCCCAAATAAAGGCTGAGGCAGGGGTGCAAAATCGCAAGAACCCTGGATGCGAGGTTGCAGGAGAGCAATTCTGCAGCGAATGGAGAAGCTTCGCTGGCAACCCGCCTTGCACAATTGCGGGCGGAAAGGGCGGAAAACGGCCCTCGGCTTTGGAACACCGGGGTGCTGAGCCTCTTTACACGTGAGTAAACACCGTTAAACCCCCACCACCCCCCAATCTCGATGCGTTTTAGGAAGTTTGGCCCTGAAGTGTGTTCGCAGAGGCGTTAGGTTTCGGAGAATGCCACCTAAAAACAAACCATTCTCTGGTTCTGAAGATCAACCAGTTTACATCCCCATTGCAGCAACAGCATCATCATCATCTACTGTTGTTGCTGCTGCTGCTGTGCCCAAGATGCAAGGAGCCTGCGGCTTGCGCGGGGGGGCAATTAGCAACTCACAAAATAAAATAATAAAAAAATAACCTTATAGCGAGGAAAGGCTGCCATCGTCCCCCCCCCCTTAGATGGTTAGGAAATGCCTGAATCGGACTCAGGCCCATTGAGTTCAACGGGGAAGTCATCCTTGGGAAATGAGCGCTCCTGGGTCTCATTGCTTTACATGGAGGCCACTTTCTCGGTGGAAATCTGTTTAACCAGACGGTTAAACCGGCTCACTGCGCCTTTGCATCGGGTGGGTTTGTCATTTGTCTATTTGCTTGACCAGGGAGAGGGTCAGCTTCATTTTGTGGGAGGGAGGCTTGAGTCATTGGCAAATAATAATAATAATTGAAGAATTTAAAATAAAAAATAAAAAACACTCCAGAGATTAGGAGCCACTCTTTGCCGTATGCTTAAAAAACAAACAAATATTTAAAAATAGATTCTACTTTCTCTCCCATTTTTCTCCCTCGCAGAAATGTTATCCTGTCTTCGTTTCCTTTTCTCCACCTCCAGACAGTCTAAAACCCATTCTGTGCGTGTAGTTAAATATCTCTTTGTTTATTGTCTTTGTGAACGCCTGCAAAGGTTTAACCGCGTTTGCTTCCCTTCTGAAATGATTGCTGCCTTTAAATTGTCATCCTCGCATTTTAAAAACATGATGTAACTCTATTTTAATACCTACATATAGAGTGTGTGGGTTTTTTTTTTTAAAAAAAAAATCTAATAAGAAGGATGAGGAGTAGAGGAACATATTACCATGTAAGTAAGCAAACCTTCGATTTTGGTGAAACTTACTACCACTTTTTTAAAATTTTAATTATTTTTATTTTTATTTATTTTTATTTTTTCCCCTGGGACTGTTGTTGATTAACAAAAGCCTTCAAAATACATTACGGAAAGGTCATCCAGGAACTCTTGTGCCAAACCTGAGAAGATCTGCCGTGCAAACTTCCATACTCAGAAGCAAGATGATTTCCATGAGGCTTTCTCGCTGGTAAGTGGGTTGAAAGTTGCCACCCTGCGCCAGTTTAAATCAATGGGTGGCGGGGGGGGGGTTGAGGATTGTCTGAATTCCCCTGGAGCGTGTGCTATACCCCCCTCCCCGCCCCACTGAAAAAGCCTGCCCTCCGGCCGAACAGTGTTGTGGATCGACAAGGCGGAAGGGGAGATCCCCAGGACTCTTGAGCATTCACTCCAGAAGGATTCGCCCTGGAGAGCGACTGCAGCAAATTCGGGGTTCAGAATAATTTTTTAAAAAATTCTTAATTAGAGTTTCAAGGGGGAGGCTAAGCGTTCGTTGTTTTGAAGGGCGTTTCGCTGAATTGGACTGTAACGCATACATTTTCCTGGCTGAAAGGATTTAAATATTGTCTTTTTTTCACGATGTTAACGCCCGTCCTATAGTCATTGTTTTCAATGCTAAATGTGGTCTTTCCCTGTTGTAAGCCGCCTTGGGTCCTTTTCAAGGAGAAAGGCGGGGTAACAATATTTTAAATAAATGCATCGCTGTACACTTGAGATTATGAGGATTTTCAATACCCCCCCAATATTTCTGATTCCCTCCAGCCTGCAGGATAATCGAGGTATATTTTCCCACAACCGGCAGGTGCATTTTGTTTGCTTGACTGCCTTGAGCAACTTTTTGGGGTGGGGGGGGAGGGAAAGGCTGGCTTTAAGTTTAAGAAAATCAATACAAGTTTGCTTTTTTAAAAAATGAAGACATTTGGGTTTATTTCCGGACTACTATGGCTAGTGTAGAGAAGAAGGTTGTTTGACCTCTTGGGGGGGGGAGGGAAAGGCTGGCTTTAAGTTTAAGAAAATCAATACAAGTTTGCTTTTTTAAAAAATGAAGACATTTGGGTTTATTTCCGGACTACTATGGCTAGTGTAGAGAAGAAGGTTGTTTGACCTCTTTAGAGTAGGGCAGCTTTGATTACAACTCCCATCACCCGCAGTCAGCCTGGGGATGATGAGAATTGTAGAAGGGTATTTCTAGAGGCTAACAGTGAGCGAAGATCACCCATGTATGTTTTTTTAATTTGATTTTTAAAATACCATCTCCTTTCTTTCTCAGGTTCCTAAATTCCCTTCTTTCTCAGATGTAAATATAAGAAGGCCTTCCCCTCTCAAAAAACCAGAATGTTGTCTTACTGACGGCCTTGTTAGGAGATCAAGGACCAAGAGAGCTGCGTTTTGCAGACCTGCTCAGAAGGGAGACCCATGGATTTCAATGGGGCCTATTCTCAAGGGAGTCGAGACAGGATTGCAGCCTGGGTACAGTCATTCTCCATTAGGGGCGAGGTTTAGATGTTTGGCCTAATATTTCTATTTTCGTCCTGGGAAGGAAGGGAGGGTGTTTGGAGGGCCAAGTTTCAGAGGCTTTAAGAATATCCTAGTCCAAGAAATAAATAAATTTTGTTCTAAGTTCAAAGGACGTTGGAGAGAGTGTTCCGAGATCTCAATTA